GTACTCAATGACCCCCCGTGAATTAAAAGAGCCGAGAGAGTACATTGATAAGAATTTAGCCAGAGGATTCATTCAGCCAGCAAAATCCTGTGTAGCTGCCCCTGTGCTTTTTAAAGAGAAGAAAGATGGATTGCTGAGGCTGTGTGTTGATTTTAAAGGGTTAAATGTGATCAGCGTGGAGAATATGTACCCACTCCCTTTAATGAAAGATATGTTGGCCCATTTGGCAAAAGGAAAGGTTTTTTTTTTACCAAATTAGATATAAGAGAAACGTACTATCGAGTGAAAGTTAAAAAAGGAGACAAGTGGGAAACAGCTTTTAACAGCCCCTTGTTCAAAGTTCAAAGTTATACCTTTTGGTCTGCAGGGGCCTCTGCCGCATTCATGCAATTGATCAATCAAGTGCTGCATGATCACCTGTATAAAGGGGTTTTAGTTTACCTTGACGACATCCTCATTTACACAAGAGACCATGGCAGAGCATATTAAATTAGTGCATGAAGTACTCAAAAAACTGCTAAATGCCAAGCTTTATGCAAAATTCTCAAAATGTGAATTCCATCAAATGCGCCTATACTACCTAGGATACAGAATTTCAAATGAAGGGGTGGAGATGGATCCAGCCAAGGTTAAAGCTGTAATAGAATGGCAACCCCCACGAACCCGCAAACAACTTCAAAGTTTTTTGGGATTCGTAAATTTCTACCGGCAATTCATCCCCTCTTTTGCTGAGATAGCTTTGCCAATTACTGAACTGTTAAAAACGGGGGGAGGCCACAACCTTGTCAACCTCTACCATGGTCTATGGAATGCCAAACCGCTTTTGAGAACTTAAAAAGACTGCGGCCGAGCCTGTTCTCAGACACCCCAACACTGAGGAGCAATTCATTATCCAAGCTGACGCTAGTGATATAGCTTTGGGGGCAGTCCTTTTGCAAAGAAACCAAAAAGGAGACTTACAACCCTGCACCTACACTTCCAAGAAATTAACAGACACTGAGCAAAGGTGGGCTCTTTGGGAGAAGGAAGCTTTTGCGGTGAGGTAGGCCCTGCTAACTTGGCGTCATTTCCTTGAGGGGGGCAAGGTGCCTTTTGAAGTATGGACTGATCATAAAAATTTAAAGGCACTGAAAACCCTCCCGTAAGTTATCTCCCAAACAAGTTCGCTGGGCCCAATATTTTAACTCTTTCAATTTTACACTAAAGTACATCCCAGGGGGAAATAATTTCGTGGCTGATGCCCTGTCCAAAATGCCCCAGTATAAAAGTCGCCATGAGGAGATTGTGAACTCCATCATTCCACAGCCACAATCAATCTCTCAGATAACCCCGGGAAGGCAACTGCAGGCAAACCCACCTGAACCAGATAGCCCATTAATAAAAAAAAAAGCTTAAGGAGGAATTGAAAACCGATTCCTGGTTTCAGGAAAACAAATCCACATTGACTTATCAAGATGGGCTAGCTTGGAAGGGATCAAAACTGCATTTGCCAGACACTTAAGAGTTCAAGCACTTCAGTGCAGCCACGATACCAAACAAGCTGGCCACTTTGGATACCTAAAGACTTTACATTTAGTCCGGAGGCAATTTTGGTGGCCAGATTTGAAAAAAGATGTTGAAAACTATGTGAAAAGCTGTGCAACCATGAAAAAACGTCCCGATAAGCCTCCTGGATTATTGCAACAAGTTGCAGACCCTTCCCAACCCTGGGAAGAGATTGCCTTGGGCTTTATTGTGGAATTACCAGAAAGTAGGGGAAATACGGTAATATGGACTGTTATTGACCTATTTTCAAAGCAGGCTCACTTCATAGCCTGTTCCGGTTTCCCTTCAGCCATGAAATTAGCCAAAATGTTCCTTAAACTTATATACAGTAGTGGCCAAAATTGTGGAAACCTTTTGGGAAAAGTGTACAGTAGAAATGCCACCTTTGGTTAAGTTTCCACCAATTTTTCTTCTAATTTCTTTATAACTGTAGCCTTGTTCACTTAATACTATTTTACATTGCTTTTGGGGCAACCAGTCAACTCTTTGCACCATTACTTTAATTTTATTACGTTTTACAAGCTCAATAAATGACAGAACACAAAAAAAACCAACCAACTTGATAGAGATCACATAACACACTGACAAATGTCCTCCTCTCAGCTTCAATACATGACATGAATAACTGAATCCTACTGTGATTTGATTGACTCGTTGCCAAAACAAGATGATACCTGATTGGCTCTCTAAACACACATGCTCATTGGCTACAATCAGATGAAGGAAAGCTACCTGATATCAACCAAAGCAAGTTGTGCTTTCTTTCTCCGGTTATTTGACTATAACTTTTCAAACTTTGTTGCATTACATTCTTGATTAAATTATCTTTCCATTGATATATAATTTTATGGTACTACTCCCCAAAAAGTGGTGTTATTAGCCATCAAACCTCAAAAATACACTTTTCCCAAAAGGTTTCCACAATTTTGGCCACTACTATACTGTCTCCATGGAGTACCAAAATGGATTATTTCAAATAGGGGAGTCCAATTTACTGCAAAAGTTTGGAGGGACTTCCTTAAACTGATCGGATCCACACAGGGACTATCATCAGGTTTTGATCTGAATACGAATGGAGCGGCTGAGAAAGCGAACTCAATGGTGGAACAATACAGTAGATGTTATGTTGATTACCAACAAACAACCTGGGTTGATCTCCTCCCTTTTGCAGTGGCTTATAATAACACTGTACATAGCAGCACTGGACTCACTCCTTTTAAAATAGCTACTGGAAGAGAATTCATTCCTATGCCTGAATACCTGCAGGACCTTCCCGCTTCTCAAACCTTAGATCAGTGGGTGACTTCCTGGAAAACTGTTTGGGACAATGCAAAAAAAGCTTTAGTGAAAACCTCAAAGATTTACAAAGAACAGGCTGATAAGAAAAGGCCTCCACAGAAGCTATTTCATGTTGGGGAGAGAGTCTATATCTCTACGAAATATTTGAGCCTCAAGTTGCCTAGTAAAAAATTAGGACCAAAATTCCTTCGACCTTTCCCCATAGTTCAGATTATAAACCCTGTCACAGTGGAGTTAAAACTCTCTCGTCTTTTGGGAAAGGTCTACCCTGTTTTTCACTGCAGTCTATTGAAACCTTTCAGGGAGTCCTCTTTAAGACCTCCTCCAAGACAGGCAGCTGCCCCCCTTGTAGCGGAGGGGGGAGACTCATTATGAAATAAAACAAATTCTTGATTCTAGGCTGTACAAAGGCAAATTAAAGTATTTAGTACAGTGGAAAGGTTACCCACTGTCAGAGGCCACTTGGGTTAAAAGTCAAAGCAGCTGGATTGACAGTAGATTTTTTTATAAGCACCCTCATAAGCCTCTGGGAGATCCCTAACTCTGACTCTTTTTCATTTACAGGATTTCTTCTTTCTTTAGGGGATCAGACTGGTAACGTTGCAACAAAATTGGTTGAAGCCCTTTCTACTTCGTTTTCTGTTGCCACAGTATGGGAGGAGGGAATGTGTGCTTTTAAGGTTAGATAAAACAATCAATTGTCCCATGGGAACCAAGGTCATTGCTGTCTGAGTTTTGGCGGGCTGAGTCTTCAGTTAGAAAGCCCGCCAAAATGGTTTATTGGGGAATGTGATTTATGACATAGTACTGGGGTGGGAAGTTCAACTTTGCAATATTGTAACCTTTGGGAGAGAACTTTACTCTTGGTTTCACTTTTGGTCTTGCGGATACTTTGTAGCCAATATATATGTTCTTTAAGGAAACCTTTTGGGTTGGAATTGTTTTTACTGGTCTTATCTATCAGAACCATGACAGGCCTTTCATCAGTATAATGTTTCAGTTACATTAAACTTCATTGCTGACAATGATCTTGATGGCTTGTCTCCTGTAAATGCCTCCTCCCTTTTCCTCTAAGAAGCAGGTTGCTGCTAAATAGAGTAGTTTCAATCCTGATGTTCCAATGAGGTTCAAGTTATCTTTGCTGAGAAATAAATTGTTAAAAAAAATAGTTTTTGAGCTTTTAAGATATAACGTTAATGCTTAATTCTTCATGCTGTCTCTCTTATCTCACTTTTCAATTATTTTAACAAACTATCCAGGCTTTGCACAGATTTAAAAGCAAATTTAAATAATAAATGTGGAAAAAGACCGTCCCTTTGCTTTTATAAGATTTGCTTCCAACTGGAACTTTTCCAACAAAAGTGGTTTCTGAACAGGCTCTATCGAAATTGGACTGGTTATTATTACTGAATTATTTTTCCCCAGTTTGTTTTTCTCTCGCTCAAAACTGTGTACCACGGCTTACGGTTCCAGACACTAACATTTTTTTTCTGTTTTCATTATCATTATTAAATCCCTGCAAAGCTCCCGTTGGGTGTTTCAGGGTTTGATCCCCCCCCCATGGTTATGAAAAGTTATCCTAACTCAGTGCTTTCAACCTCAGCAACTTTTAAGATGCGTGGACTACATGCTGACCGGGGAACTCTGGGAATGGAAGTCCACAAACCTCAAATGTGGCTGGAGTTGAGAAACATTGTTCTAATCTATCTAACCAATTCGATGTCTCCTTCCTTGTATATGTTTCCGGGCCAGATGCACTGTTAGGCTGTCTTACCGCACCCTAATAAGGAGCACACCTGTACTTTAAACTTCCGTGGCGTACAGTTCCTTCTTTCTTCAAATCAGAACGACGAGACCGGATTTCTTAAAAAAAAAGCACGGGGGGCAATCCTGCTTTTGAAAAAGTCCCCGTTGCGAAGGTCGCAACAACGCCGAGCATCTTTCTCTTTCGATTTCTCGCCCTGCAGCCCTTTCCCCTGGATTTTCCAGCCCGCGCCTGCTTTCTCCCAACCAGAACTGGCTCTTCAAGAGACGAGAGAGGCGGAAAAAGACGGGATTGGCCCTTCCCCTCCGCCAATCATCGCCCTTAAGACCCAGAAGCTCACCCAGCGGGGAATGCAACTCAGAGCTCGGGAACCGCCCGCGGCGGACAGTTTCCCTGGAGAAGCGAAAGTGGCTGCTTTGCCTTTAGTTCCCGTGGCCTCTGCAGTTTGCCTGGCTGCTCCTCTAGGATGAGGGGAATGCTCCGAGGCTCCACTTCCACCTGCCGGGTGATTCTGATGGTCACCATCCTGTGCTGCTGCACTAACAGAGCAGCTTCTTCAGGTAATTACCCGGCAGGTCGCTGCGCCCTACCTCTCGGTTTAGGTGGCTGATCCCCGCGGGGAAAGCGGCTTGCCGGAGGCTGAAGAAGGAACAACCTTAACTCTAACGGCCGACCCGCAGCTGCGCAAGCTCTGGCGTGGATGCACCCAAAGGATGGGAAGGCGGTGGTTGAGGAAATGGGAAATCCCCGTTTAAATGTGTTGGGGCTTGTTGGGCTGAAGGTGACTGGGTGCTTTTGGAAACGTGGAGGATGCTCCCAACCCGCGCTTGCTTCTCCGAAGAGTCCGTGTGTGGGGGGGGGGGGCTGCCCCTGTGGTGGCAGGTGGCCTGTAGGCAGCGCCGGGAACTGCGCTGCAGCTCCTCTCCGCGGAATCGGGTTTGCCCTTTCCTTCCAGCACTGCGCGCGCGCGCGCGCAAGAGTTTTCCAGGTCTCCAGTTTGCGCCAAGGCCGCGAGTTTAGAGCCGTGACTTGACATTTTTTTTTGTTGTTTTTGTTTTTTGAGCCTCCAGTACTAAGGTTATTCCAGAGGCTTTAACCTGAAACCCGTAGTAGTAGTAGTAGTAGTAACCTCGGAATATCGTTACCCCGACGATCAGGTCAACCGGGCCATTCCCTAGAAATCGGAGCCCGATTTTCCACCAGAGATATTAGCGGCGCCTTCGACTACTTAACTCACCGTTTGCAACCGCGGACTGGGAAGGGCGGCGGAGGCAGATCGGCGGTGTTGGCCTTTTGCCACTCTTAATTCGGACTCCTTTTGCTTTCTCTCTCCCAGAGTTATTTATAGGCTTTGGGATAAGAGTCCTTGCGTGGTTTGATTTAGGAGTTAAAAACTTGGCTACTCTTCGGTGACCGCTCAGTGACCGCTCAGTGTAAAACAGAAAAGAGCGCGGGGCTGAATTGGAGCAGGGAGATTTGTTTGTAGCTTCAAGACAGGGCTTGTACTTTCCCCTGCTCCAGCTCCGGTGGCAGATCTTCATATTTCTTTTCCAATGCTACAATTAACTGATGGACTTTCTAAATTGCTGTTTTTTGTATCTGTGCAGTAATGAAAAATGTTGAAGTTCTGGCAGAAAAAAAACGGTAGCAACCAAATCATCCTGATGAATTGAAGTTTCAGTTTGATTTCATAAATTTCTGTTTATCTGAAATCTCTCAGACTATTAAAGTATATTGCAGGTCTGTGCAAGATTATACTGGGTTCCACAAATAAGGATTTTCTGGTATTTCTGAAATGACGTTTTTAAAATTGCTTTAAAGAGATTGTGAGTTAAAATTTGAACATAACATTCATTCTACATACTGTATAAACATCTCAAGTCTTTGGGTTTAAACATTTGAAGGGAAAAATAAACTATAATTTCATATGGATTAAATTGTTATATGCAAATATTTTAAAACTTTCCTGTATATCATTTTCACTGGAACTATGTATAAATACTTTCAAGTATGACAGTTCAATAGCACATAAGCCCTTTTATGTGTAAACAGTGTAACTAGGATTTACCTAACATTCTTTCACACATTATACTATAATTGCTTATGAGAGATTGTGTGAGTACATGTATGTAGTGAAATCTTACATTATATAGAAAGGGCTTCTCTCTAAGCAGATTATTATTCTGTTGCTAATGCAAGTATTTAAAAACTTTCCTGTATACCATTTTACTAGAATATATGTAAATACTTTCAAGCATGACAGTTCAATTAGTACACACCCTTTTATGTGTAAACAGTGTAACTAGGATTTATCTAACATTCATTCACATACAGTATAATTGCTACCTGTGTGAGAGAGATTGTGAGTGAATGTGTGTGTGTGTATAAAAAGAGAGTTATGTAGAAAGGACTTTTTTCTAACTAGTTTATTATTTCTCTTACTAATTGTTTATCCAGATTTTCTGTTAAGTTCTATTTCGGTTTCTATTCAGTTCAGTTCTAAACTGAACTGCAGAAGCTTGGATGAGAAACAAAACGTTCAATGGCACTAAAAAAAAGTGAAATGACGATTTTTCATACTTAGGACAATTGAAACATTCCCCATGATCACATGATCAGAATTTGTGTGCTTGGCAATTGGCATGTATTTATGATATTGCACTGTCCCAGGGTCATATGATCATTGTTTGTAACCCTCCCAACTGGCTTCCCTGAAGCAAAGTCAATGGGGGGGAAACCAGATTCACTTAATGATCACATGGTTCACTTAACAACCACAGAGATTTGCTTACCAACTGTGTCAAAAAAGTTGTAAAATGGGGCAAAACTCACTTAACAACTGCCTTGCTTAGCAACGGAAATTTTGGAATCAATTATGGTCCTAAATCAAGGAATACCTATATGCATTCCCAGGCTCCAACCGTTTATTTTGAAAGAGAATGCTGAATGTCTTTGTGGTTAAGGGATGCAGACTCATGAAAAAGTAATCTGAAAGCAGGAAAGATTATCCAAATGGTTGTAACTCATTTGCATGGGGAATCATTTCTTTGATTTTCCTGAATTATTCTGTACAATCACCCTGTGATCTAGTTCTGACAAATAAGCTGCTGGTAGATAATTATGGACCACTTGAACTAAGCTTCCTCCAATTTTTTAATTGTACAGAGTCCGGAGTTGCTCTATGAGTGAGATGGGCAATCTCTAAATTAGATATACATACGTGCATATACATATACATATATATACACATACATATACATATACGTAATGTAGTTTTATCCTGTCCATAAACTAGTACAGTGGTGGCGAACCTATGGCACGGGTGCCAGAGGCGGCACTTAGAGTCCTCTCTGTGGGCACGCGTGCCATCGCCCCAGTCCTAGGCCTTCAGCTGGGGTTTATAAAACCTTTTCGCTTTAGGTCTCTGCCGCCGTGTGCAAAAAAAAAAAGGTTCAATCAGTCAATTTCAACTTATCGCGGGGAAAAAAAAGATCTTGCAAAGTTGGAATTGATTGATTGAACTTTTTAGTCCCACCCAGTCTGACGTTACCACCGCAGCCACGCCCACCCAATGGGCCACACCCACCCAGCATCCGACGATGCATAAGTGGGTTTTGGGCACTCGGTCTCTAAAAGGTTCGCCATCACTGAACTAGTACCTGCAGTGGCTTTCCTTTTATAGAGATACTGGGAAATGCTATTTAACTGGATACTATGAAAGTGTCATACTTCTTGGTAGACAATGGATCCATCATGATGAAGGTTTTAGGATGGTTTCATTGGGTTTTTAATGAAAGAGAATCCATGGACTGGCAAAAACTCAGTGCTCAGAAATTGAAGAAACAAAGAGTGCAACCAGGCCCATTAAGTATAAATTGGAGTAAGATATTCTGGAAGAAAGATCAATTTCTCCCTTTTCCTGGAAGAAAAAACAATTCTGTTTTAGGGAATTGCGTTGATACTGCGGAGACCAAATGGCGATGTTATGAAACTGGTATCTTGGTTCACAGAGTCATGTTTAATGACAGTCAAATGGACAAAGCTGAAGAGTGTGGTTATAGCATTCCAGAACTGTAGCAACATTTGCCAAATTGCAAGATGAATGGGATGGTTCTGTCTCACCTCAGTTAAAAATGCAATCCATAAAATGCAACTAGTAAGGAACTTAAAAGGCAACCTGAGTTGATGCTGGATGGATAGGATATTATACTAGCAGAAATTTATAATAATCGGTATTGCAGGCACAACACAAAAATGGCACTGATTATAAAAGGGAGGAACTTTTTGAATAGGCTGAAATTCCAGCTATTACTTTCTTACACACTCATTTGGAGGGGCTGCATGAAAGCTGTTTGAAATGATTAATATCTTTGTATCACACATCATTGTAATTCTGACAATAGTTAAATGTGTCTTATGAGGCTTTGCAAGAGCAGATACTTTTGTTGTAAGCCAAACTTTTATTCATATTCTTATTGATAAATCATGTTGGAGTTGAGAATTTAAAGCTGTGGTCTTTTTTATATTTACTTGGAAATAATTTGAATTGGTAGGCAGAGGCCTAATTCACAGACAGACAGACAGACTTGGGAAATATGCCCAAGATTTTGTTACCTGGAGAGCAGGCCTCTTAATGCTAGGAAAATGCCGGATTTTTAAATATATATATATATATATATATATATAATAAATTTTGTCTAATCTGCATGTTCTAGATGTGTGATAGGTGCAATAGATGTACAGTATGCTTGAATGCTAATAAAATTTTATATTAAAGAATAATAACAAGGAGCCAGTGTGCTACAATGGTTAAGTAGTTCCATCTTCCGCTTGTACTTCTAGACTCCAGATATTCTACAGCTTAGAACCAGAGTCCTCAACCACAGACTTGTAAGAAACAGGCTGAGTGACTGCGCATTTCTTTTACCAGGATATGATAGGTTCAGTGTGGTCAAACAGGTGCAGCTTGGAAGGAACGGTTTATATTGTGTGATCTACATGCCCGTTGAATGGCAGCAAAGATCTACATGCCCGTTGAATGGCAGCAAAGAATTTTTTTCCTGTTTTTTTTTTTAATGTCATCTAGTGCAGAGGTCTCCAACCTTTTGGGCACCAGGGACCGGTTACATGGAGAGAGGTTTTTCCGCGAACCGGAGTGGGCGTGGTTTTGTGTGCTGCCTGCATCCCGCGGATGGAATTTTGCTTGTTTGTGCGGCCTGGTTGCTGGCATGCTGTGGCCTGGTATCGGTCCCCGGACCAGAGGTTGGTCAGCCAGATATTTGAAGCTCAGAAATTAGTATTGGAACTAGTATTGGAAGACTTTGAAAGTGAACAATGGTGAGAAGAGGTTTTTATTTTTTTAAAAAAGCTAGATACTTTTACATACATATGTACAAAAGTTAAATCTTAGAAAGAGATGTAGCATATTACATACAGTATGTGTTTGGATACACAGAAGCTTGAAATTGAAACTTGTACATTTCACTCTCAGAAAATTTCTTTTGGCTAGAATTGATTCCCACATTTGCAGAAAACCTCACCACTTAATCTTAAGACACAT